TTTTTAACAATACAAATAATTTATCAAAGTTTAACAATTTTTTGTACCAAAGCTAATAAATCAGTCTGAGTATAAATAAGATACAAATTTAAACACAAACATAACACAAATTAACATGGAAACACATTAAACAATATAAATATGCATGTACTATACGAGTTTTGACATATACAAAATCGAAATACCTTGATTTAAGTTTTTTGAATTTGATTGAAATCGAATTTTTGCAACCGAAAGAAGAAATCCAAAACTTGTCTTGTATGTGGGACATACACTCCTTGCTCTTTAGATGACGGGTGGGGCCGATTTTATTTTTTTTAAGTTTGTCGCGGGGAGGGGGGACCAGAAGAATCGAATTTTTTAAAAGAGGGGGGCGTCGGTTTAGTGGCCCAAGGAAGAAGAAGGGGCTGCGTTTTATAAAGCTGTTCGCAGTATTATACTGCATTTTAAGTAAAACGCAATATAATACTGCGTTTACTGCGTTTTAAGTAAAACGCAGTATAATACTGCGAACAGCTTTATAAAACGCAGTATTATACTGCGAATTACAAAAAAAAAATTAAAGTAAAACGCAGTATAATACTGCGAACAGCTTTATAAAACGCAGTATTATACTGCGAATTACAAAAAAAATTGATGTAAAACGCAGTATGGTACTGCGAATTACAAAAAAAAAATTAAAGTAAAACGCAGTATAGTACTGCGTTTTACTTTAACGGATTAATTTCCGTTAACGTAGTTCGCAGTATAGTACTGCATTTTACTCATTTATGTAACTTTTTTTTAAGCAGTATAAAAGTGTTTTTTGTCAAAAAAAAAAAAATATCAAAAAAGTTTTGGACTCTATGTAACAGACTCCACATGATAAAACATCAATCATGCAAACAAAGAAACTCTGATGTAAATGAAACTTACTTTATTCAATACTACGGATTACCAAAATCTTCACACCTACTACAACAATATCTTCTTTTTTTTGCCTTGGAAAACCATATATTAACACAGCACATGCAACTATTATGTCGAAATATTTCAATTTACATTGACCAGCCCACTCTCATTAGAGTACTCAAGAACCTTTTTTTTCCTTTCTTTTTCTTTAGGAGGCAGTTTCTGATATATTTTTCAAAAAATAAAATAAAATTGGTCACAGTTTGCATCGGGATGTGACCTAGCGATTAATAAAGTAAGTGAAATTTTTAAAAATTAAAGTTCAAACTCAATAAAAGACAGAATGTTAGAAGATGAATTTTTTACATCTGACTAATCTTTAATGAACACGATTACCTAATATTTGTGTTGATCGAAGTAGCAAGTACTCGATGAACACAGTCAATTTAACACTACCTTTTGAAGAAGAAATGGCATGGGACACATGATTACAAAGTAAGGAATTAAACTCACCAACAAAGTGAAAATTCAAGTAGCCAACCAATGAGTTACTTAGATTACCCAATTTAGCATTACCTTAGTCCATGCATTTAACTTCTTGTATACATATTTTGACTATTTCGTGTACATATTATCAAACTCTAATTACTCAAAAATAGAGATTTTATTTTGTTTTTTTTGTCTCAATCTATATGATAGACTTTTGTTTCTAGTATAATCCAGGAAGAAAAATACCTTTCTATATTTAGAAATAATTTAACTTTAAATATCATATCTTAATAAGATAGTTTGTAACCACACAAATCTATTATTCTTCTAGATTATACTCCCTCCACTCTACTTTAATTGATATTTTTATCTTTCTTTTTTTGCGATCCATAATATTTGATGTTTTCAAATATAAAGAAGGAATAAACTTCTTTTTCTAAAGTTGCTCTCGGAGTAAAGAGCTTAGTAGTATTTATTATATTTCCAATGAATAAATTAAGGTTAATATGGTCAATTCCATTGTTAATTAATACTAAAATATTGATTCCTTAATATGTGTAAAAATAGCTAAAAGATCAATTAAAGTGGACTAAGAAAAAAGATTTAACAATTTTAATTTTTTTCTTAAATTTCGTAATTAGTCAAACACCAACATATTTTGAGATCAAGGGAATATTAACATTGCATTGAGTAAATAAAAATGTAAACGGGCAGGGAAAGATGCCAAAACTAATTATGCATGTCATATTACCCCGCTCGACGCAGAAATGCTGCAGTTGTGAAAGCAGAAGCAACACGTGCTTTCCCTGCCCGTGGTTGCAAAACAATCACACTCACGAGCCAAACATCATCATTTATGCAAACAAGTCCAACAACTTTTCTAAAAGTTGGAAGCAGATAGATTCCATAGATTTCAGGTAAAGTAAAAGCATAGACCCTTTTGAAAATTCTGCATCATCAAAGTTAGCTAAACAAAACAATATGAGAAAAATTATCCAAACAAACAAGAGTTATTTAATTCCATCCATATTTACAGAATCAGAAAAATAAGCTCGGAAGGGCAGCCCGGTTCACTAAGCTTTTACTATGTGTGGAGTCTGGTAAGGGTCGGACTAAAGGGTCTGTTGTAGGCGACTTTACCTTGTATTTTTTCATTTCGGCAAGAAGCTATTTTCATGCGCGCCTGTAACTCGAAATTTTCTTATCACATGACAACAACTTTACTGGTTATAGGCTCTAAGAGAGCTTGGTACTCTAAGCTTTCATTATGTGCGGGGTCCGGAAGGGCCAGATCACAAGGTGTCTTATACAATATTTCTGCAAGAAGTTATTTCCACGCTCGAACCGTAATCTCCTTATAAAATAAGAGCAACTTTACCAGCAACAAGGCTTCTCTTCAGCCTATGCGAGTCTTGCTACTACTATAATGTCTCTTATTTTCAGCTCCAACACTAACATTAGAACCACCACCACCATCTTTTTTCTGTTGCGAAGAAGAAGAAGAAGAAAACAGAGGAAATCCAAATACTCCAGATTTTGAAGAAACTCTTAGAGAACATACTGGAACATTTAAAACCGGAGTAACACGAACATTAGCTGAATAAGATCTCTCCATTCCTCCTCCTCCATGTTTATACCTTGCTCCACCACCATTAAAACTGCTTGGACTGCTCGAACTTCTTCCTAAATTATGGAAAACAATTTTTCCTGAAGAATTCATTCGCGGACTATCATCAATCGACACTCCACCTCTTGTAGTACTGGTACAGATAGTTGGATTTTCTGACGATAAAGCTCTATGTTTCACTAGTCGAATTCGAGGAGGATTATTATTAGTAATGTTTTGGCCATTGCTGTGGCTAAAGCTACTGGGTTTGTCAGAATCGAGAGAAAGTCGAGGAAGATCGTCGTGTTCGTGGCCGGAAGAGGAAGAAGATGAAAGAGATAATCGAGATGATGAAACTGAAATCGACTCGTAATCGGAGTCCTTAATGAGCAAAGGAATGTTAATTAGAGATGAGTCGGTTGAAGAATTTGAGGATTTTGAGCTGCGATTAAGGAAATTAATTCTAAGAGATTTATGTGTGTTGTTTGTGCTGTTTCTTTTACCTTCTTCTTTGTCATTGTCGTCGTTGTTGTTGTGCTGCTGTTTCTTCAAGCCTAAAAGTTCTCTCCACCGACTCGAACACCTCGGAGCCTTTGGAGAGAACAAGCACGTGTCCGCACGAGAAATGAGATCATTTCTCGTACGTAGTTTCGATGTCTCCGGTGATCTAACTCCGGCGGAAGTAGAGGTGGCCGCCGCCGTGTGTATCGCGGAGAGTTGCAGAGGCACCAGTTTTCCGTCGGAGAATAGCTCATCGGCGGCCGGTAACATAGTCACCGGATCTTCGAGTCGGAATTCGAAATCCGCCATCTCGTTAACCGGAAGTTCTGGATCTAGAACTTCCGGTTTAGTAGTCTTGTTGGACCAGACGAAGGACTTGTACTTGGTATCCAAAAAATTCTCGGACGAAATGGTGATGTTGTTTAAGCAAGCTGATGAAGTCATGTACTCACAGCAGAAAGAAGAAACGTAGCTAGCTTTTGCAGAAAATGAAAGCGGTGAATTTCAAGAGCCTTGAAATATATGCAGTGAGAAAGAGAGAGATTTAGAGAGAGAGAGAGAGAAGTTGAGGGAGAGCTAGGGTTTAGAGAGGGGGTTGTGTATATTAGCTGAAGCTAAGCATAGCATATAGCAGAAGCAGCGTAGTGTAGTGACTAGTGAGTGCCGAAAAGTTTTATTGTATGTGTCATACAACTGGTACTAATTGTACGAGACTCTTTTTTATCTTACAAATTTATGGACCCCAATCTTATATTTTTGGGTCCATAGAAATTTAAGTCCACAAAAAATTATCTCATACAATTAGTATCAATTGTATGACACACAAAATAAAATTTTCCTGAGTCTGGTATTGCTAGTAGTGGGGAAACTATGGCTATTTTCCCCCATAAGTCAAATAGTGGATACATATTTAAATTTAATAGGTTCAGTTTTAAGAAACATTAAATTTATTATTGTCATGATAAAATTAGGAGTTCAAATCCAATACTTGTAAGTAAGCTTTTATGTATAAATCCAGATTTCGTATCCAATGTAATGGGTTCAGTTGAACCCGTTGTTGAAAGGTTACATTCGCCCATGTTTCTCCGTCCATCTTTTATATATAATTGTGGTATTCGGGTCAGCTTGTATTAATACATAATATACTTTGTTACCTTCTACTCGCATATATATATATATATCAAATAATTCTATCTACCAAGTCTAGCACTTTGTTTAAAATAATTCTCGTCCATATTTTTAATAATCATAGTATGTGCATATCGACTAATTTTATAGAGTATCTAATATCTCCTACCAGCACAAGTGACTCTATCTACCAAGGCTAACACTTTATTTATAATAATTCTCCATCCATTTCATTAAACTTTATTTAGAATAACAATATCTTTTTTTATTAACATATTTAAATGTAAATATTTATGACCATAAAAATTTCATTGTATACTCAAGATCATTAATTTCAAAAAATATTTCATTTTCAAATTTAATATTCAGTTAAATTAGGTCACATAACTTGAAACAGTAAAATAGAGTGCAAGGGTTAAGAGTTGACAATTGACATGTGGATATTTGGTCGAAGAAAAGGATGTAACCTGAATTTTTTTGTTGAGAGGGACCAAGGGAGTAAGGATGGCAATGGGGTGGGGCAGGGCGGGGCGGTTGGCGGGGCGGGGCGGGTTTAGGCCTATGCGAGTCAGGGCGGAGGCTTATGCGGTGCGGAGAGGGTTGAAATGGAAAATTTTCAAATTCTAGCGGTGGCGGGGGGTTGCGGCTGGAAAATTTTCACCAAAAACGTTATATGTTGTTATTATTAATGAATGAAATATGAATATCATTTTAGATTTTAATATTAAATAACTGATGTTTACGTTTTGATATCATTCTATTACATCATGAAGTAATTAAAATAAGTTTTTATTTTCATATAAATAAAATAATCGAAAAAAATACAAAAACAAGCACCTTCAGTTGGAAGGATATTAGTTGTCATGAAGGTTCGAGATACGCTAGCATGTATTTTATTTTTTTTAGTTTCTTACCCGGTGTTCGGTATCAGTATTGGAACCCGATTAAATTCGAATTCGCACCGAAAAATCTATATTGGGAGTAAAACGCTCCCTAACAAAAGCGACTTCGTACCTAGACCTAAACCCGAGACTTTTGGAAAATTTTCAAATTCTGAAGTTGCATAATCTATTCTTTGAATTTATAATTTACTTTTAAGAGGGCCTGCTACTTAATTGCTAAAACTAAAGAAAAACATGTTACGAGGCTACAGTGATAGAAAATAACAAGTTTGCTATAATATATTTGAATATATTATTTATTTGATTCGACGACAGCAAATAAATGAAATAGAGTAATTTCTTATTGTTATTCCATGAAGACTAGTATTATTTCTGAATTTTCAATATAGAATGGTAGCAATATAGAATATAAGTATTCTAGTGGTATTTTCGAGTATTATGGTTTACAATTACATTTATATATTGACCGAAAAAATTAAATATAGCATACTAGTTTGAATATTTTTATAGGAGAATGATTTCCAGTAATAATTAACAAATTCGTTTTTGTTAGACATACATTGTTTAGAAGGAAACGAATCAAAAAATCTAAAAGGAAAGAAGAAATACAGAAAAAAATAACAAATGAAAAAAGGGAAAAAAAAGACTTGATGCGGGGCGGGTTGATGCGGGACGGTGCGGAGCGGGTTAGAAATAGATAAAAATGCTATGCGGGACGGAGCGAGACGGGTTGAAAATTTTGTGGGTTCAGCAAAACCTGCCCCACACCGCCCCATTGCCATTCCTATAGGGAGAATCCAAAAAAGAGAATAAAAGAAAAAAAATAGAATTAGCTTGAGGGATGGTTCTTGGAAGCATCTGAATGTGAATAGAATATAAATGGAACAGGTTCTGTCCTTATATTTTTTGTTATAATAATTCTCAATCAACGTGCTATGGAAGTAATATTTACCCGCCTTCCAAGAGTTCTTTTAATTCCGAGGTAAAACTCGCATCTTATCTGCCATAAATCATATTTTAACAATTGTAAATACTAAATTATTTTAATATTTGTAGATACTAAAGGTCAGTAATTATATATAAATGTTACTTGGGTTATCAATATTTGTAAATTATAAATTTTTATTATTTGAAATATTAGTGAAATATTATAGAACTTGTTCGATCAATGTTTCAAAGTTTAGATCTCATGACTCGATTGGTAGACAGTGATATTATTATTTTTGATGACGTAATCTTTTTCTTTTTCATTTATGTTAATGATGGAGAGGTCGAACCAGGAAATGAATATTTATTTACAATTTTTGTAGTATAACTTTTTATTTTATGCTCGATCTCTCAATAAATAGTTAGCTGAGGTCATAAACTCGTAGTAACTTGTTTTCAGCCATAATTTTTAATTTTATTCAAATAAGACTAATATTTAAAAATAACTTTAATTTTTAATACTCTTTTTTAAATCTCAACTTTGAATACTTACCCTTTTTTTTCTAGCTCGACCAAATATTGTCGAAAAATCTACAAACGCTTCAACTGGAGAGCAATATTTGGATAACAGTAACTTGAAAAGTGTTGGGAAAGACCACTTTTCACTTGTACTTTGTCTTTTTTTGTGCTTTTCTTTTTCTTCGAATCACATGACAATAAGTGACCAAATACAGATAATTGCACATATTAAATCCACTGCCACGGATGAAAATTCATCTTTTAGCATTAATTAACAATAAAATTGATTATATTAATTTTAATTTATTAATTAAAAATATAACAAATTCTCCTAGGCTCTTCATTCCAAAGGTAACTTTGAAAAAAGAAAGAAAATTCCTTTTTAGTAGCTTAAAATATTAAATATTGTGACCACAAAAAGAAGATAAAAAATTAATTAAAATAGACCGAAGGGAGTAATTTATTGTACCGTTAAAATTATGTAATTTGATACGATATTCATTGATATTTTAGTAAATTTTTTATATGTTTATACTCCTTATCAAAATATGAGTTCAAATGAACTTATAATCAAAAGGTTACATCCGACCTCTGATGAAAATCATAATAATATTACAAAAATTATTTCATAAACATATATAAATTAGATATTCAAACCATAATATGGGTATCGAACATCACGTGAGAAAAAAAAAAAGTCAAATATTCTAGACAATAGTTGGTCCTTAACCTACGCAATTAGTAGTTAGAGGGTAAGCCTATGGCGTTTTTGGTACGTAATCGATCCTAACCTATAAAATTTTATAATTTCGTATCAAACTTTAATTTTACTTTGAAAAAGAAGCAAATACTACAAGAATAGTGATTGAGATTTTTCAGTAGACTATATACGTGGGATGATTTAATTGAGATTTTCAGTAAACTATCAATCTCCATCTCAAAAGTAAAGCAGCACAACTATTTTGAAAAAAAAATATGAAAAAGTCAAGTATTCCATTTAACTCATTTAAAAACTTGAAATCGTATTTGAGGAAAATTTCAGTGCAAAGATTACTTTTAGTCCGTTGCCAAAATTAATATTCGATAGCCGTAAAAGTATATAAAATTATTATATTAATACATGTACATACAAAAAATATACGTACTATTTTTTCTGCTATTAATTAAGAGCGGCTATACATTGTCAATTTTTTAAAAATTTACTGAGGAATTCATAAATTCTCCCTTAATTTCTTGGAGTACAATTAATTATATTAGTTCACCAAAATATATGTATAACTCAACATATAAATGTTGGTTTTTTTTATTAATAACAAAAGATGTGTGAATGGAAAATGGTGGGAAGTGAAATTTTGAATTAGTTCACTCTACTAAGCACTTTGTCCCTCATTTGTAGAAGGAAAGAAAATCTTTGTGTATATATAGAGAAGCTCATTTAGCTCTTAAAGAGTTAAAGAAGAAGGCAAGCCTCGCGCCATTGTCGTCGTCGCTCGACTCGACTTTGGTCAAAGATTAATTGATTAATCTTTTTGGATAAAATTCTTTTCAATTAATTAATTAAATTAATTAACGAAAATTCAATCCGGAATAACCCATAACCCGCGACCTACTCCGGTCCGATCTGTTTTTCTTTCCCGGACTATTTTAAATCCATTTTTAGTTTTTCTGTAATATTTTCACCTGTTCCAACAACTATGGCTGTTATGAAATGTTGCAAACCTTTTCAGAATCAGTGCCAAATAGTCTATAAATATTCCTTCAATCCCAGAATTTTAACTTACAAAATTTTCTGATTTTCTTCTTCTTCTTCTGCATATAAAATTCCAGTGTGTTTTACAACCTTCGAGTGATTCGCTATTCATCGGCGTTTTTGGTATCAACACTCCGGTGAGTTAAATCGTTCTATCCTGGGAGGATATATTCCAGAACCTCGGGTACTTGAGGGAAATAATTTCCTTAAGGACACGCTGTATATTCAGTGGATTCGATTTATTCCTATACTATTTTCAGAATTTATTTTGAAGTTGTTATACTGTTTTCAGAATTTATTTTGACATTTTAAGTTCTACTAACTTTCAGTTTTCCAGAAAGTTTATTGTTTTATGAATTTTACAGCAATACAATTTTGATAACAATAAATTCTGCTATGGGGAAAGTTGATTGAAAATTGGGACGC